CTGTGTCTCTCTGTCTGTGTCTCTCTGTCTGTGTCTCTCTGTCTGTGTCTCTCTGTCTGTGTCTCTCTCTCTCTCTGTGTCTCTCTCTCTGTGTGTCTCTCTCTCTGTGTGTGTCTCTCTCTGTGTCTCTCTATCTCTCTCTGTATCTCTCTATCTCTCTCTCTCTGTGTCTCTCTATCTCTCTCTCTGCGTCTCTATCTCTGTATCTCTCGGTCTCTCACTGTCTCTGTCTCTTTCCCCTCCCCGTCTGTCCTTTCCCTCCTTTCTTCGTCTGTGCTACTCCGCTGTTCAGTCCGCGGGTCTACCCCTTCCTGCCGGCTCTGCCACCGCGCGCTCGTCGGCTGTTGCACGACCGCAATCACGCGATGCAACTTCCCTCTCTCCCTCCCTGCGCCCTTTCTCCCCCCGTCAGCGTGTGCGTAGAACGGCCCCCTCCCTTCCCCCGCCTAAGTTAACTTTGTAATTTGTATTTTTAAAATGGCCGCTTATTTCGTTTTATTGGAAGGGCAACTTTTCAGACGAGCAGGTAATTCGGCGCCCGTGTCGCGCGCGTCTATTTGCGGCGACGCCGACGCGGCACGGCGCGGCGCGGCGCGGCGCGTGGGAGTGCGAGATGCCAATGAAGCGCGGGCGGGGCTCCGTTTCGGGCCGCGAGGGCCCCGAATAGGCCCGCGGTCGCGTGCCCGTCGGCGCGCCCGCGACCGATTTTATTTTCGGCAATTTGCTTTGATGGCCATTCCGCCCGCCGGGATTAAAATTAATTGCCGGAAATATTTAACCTTCCGTTCGTTTTCCGCCCTGCCGTGCTTTCTGGGTAGCCGCAATCCGTTTCCTTTTGTTTACGTCCCGGGAACGCTATTTTCGCTCTTGCGAAAGGGCATGATGTTCTGTGCAAGGAGTAATTGAGGTAATCTTGGGCTATTATAGAGAGGTATATCAAAGATTTATTTTATGTGTTATGTTTTAGAAAGTTAAGTTAATTTATGAGTACTGATATGTTTAGTAAATATTTATGACACTGTTACAACATCTTGAACAGTGTATTTAAAAAATTATTATATCGCTTCAAAAATGCATGTCATTTAGTTACAGCGAATTTCTAGTTTTTACAAACTTAAATGTATAGTGAGATCAAGGATTACATAAATGAAAATGTTAATCCATTTTTTTTATTTTTTTGAGATAAATGGTTCTGCAAACAGGCCCTATTAATGTATTTTTTTCTGAACGATAACAAAAGGTATGACAACTTCCAGAACTATTTAGTCTCAATCTTCGAGAAATGGTCAGTAAATTGGAATGTGCATTTGAACCATAATATAACAGTGATATTTACATCGTGATTTGGTAATAACCTAGAATTTCATGATTCATTATGAACATTGTTCGTGGAGTATGTGTTCGTTTAGAGACTCTTGTTACAGTTTTCAATTCGATTTCATACATTATTTTGGATAATTCCATGGCTTTATAAAATTTTTGCTGAGTTTCTCTTCGAACGTTTTAAAAGTGATGTATATTATTATCGTAATCTTATTAAATCTCTATGGCTTAGGGTCTTCATCAATCTATCGTCATTCACACACTGTTGAGAGGACCAAAAGTGCCATTCTATAACGCGGACAAAACTTGCACACGGTTAGCTTCCGCGGCTCGAATCCATAAATTCTTTGGCTGTCCGGAAGACACCGCGTCGTTGGCTGGGGTGCCGACGTTTCGCCTGGCATGTCGCAGGCTTCCACAGGGCAGTGACTGCCCTGAGGAAGCCTGCGACATGTCAGGCGAAACGTCGGCCTCCCAGCCAACGAGGAATAACCAAGAATTTGTGGACAGAACTTGCTCTCATCCAGGCAGCTTCTGGTACTTGATGCTTGGCTGCGCAGGTGTGCTCCGAGCGAGGATGGCGCGAGTACAACGAGAACACGCCGCTGCGCGACAACTGGAACCTGTGGTGGCGCACCAACGGCTTCCCTTCCTCCACCTACAAGTCGCTCAAGATGTGGCAGGTGCGTAGCGCGCTCGCTCCCTTCTCACGCAGTTCCTCCCGGGGAAACCGGATGAGCGATTTCACTGAAAATACCAAGACGAGCCGCGATTTACTATTTCCTTAAAATTATAAAACGATAACTTTATTATTATTTTTATTTTGTGTGGAGAGTTGGTTTCTTACAAATGTTGTAGAAATGAATATAAATGTTAGTAGTGCTACTGATAGACGTGTTTGCAGCTATGTGAAAACACAACTAATTCTTGGATGTGTGTAAAGTGTTTCTGAAGATGACACGCAAATAAAAGTATAACACTTCAAAAATATGGTAATTTCTTAGATTTATTTAGATTTGTATTTAAAAAATTATTCAAAAATGTTTTCGTTACAACAAATTCTTTTCGAGTTATTACTTAAAGCACATTGACACATTTGTCGGTAAAGTTCTCTCTGTAGAACAATTAAGTTGTTTTGATATTTTCATTTGACACATTTTTCTTTTAATTTACATAATATATCACGACCTTAAAGACCATGTGTGTAATGTACTATTACAAATGTAACTTTTCCAGTTCACAAATCACATTCCAAAAGCGTCTTCCATCTGCCGCAAGGATACGTTGGCGCGCTATTTGCGATGCATGCGAAAGGTTTACGGAAGCGTCTACGATTTCAGGTGAGTTGCGTCTTCCTGTCCTTCATCTGTCTGCGAATCTAACTTGATTTACTTCCATTTTCCTCTGCTTGTCGTAGAAATAGTTAAAATGCAACTATATTATTATTTGACACATTCACTTTTGCTTTATGAAAACGTTAAATAGATCCTAGTGTTTTTTTAATTAATATGTTGAGTAGAATAAATAAATAAGATAAGTCAATATTTCAAAATTTTTCAGGTTGTTTTAAAAGATAAGAATGCCATGAACATTAAAATAGTCATAATTTCTTTTTCTTTCAGTTTCGTATGTATTTAGTATATCTTTATTTGCAGTCTGGTAATAACTGCCAATATCATGTTTGTGTTTCACTACACAATTTTTTTTTCTGAAAATTGATTTCCCCTTTTCCCTCCTATAATTCATGTATTAATATAACTATAATATACTCGATTTCGTCAGAAATTAATTATAAACTTTCTAGTAATGATCAGTAAAAAATAAATAGGCCGGCGAAGAAAATGGCCCAAAGAAGGAGCAGAGGCATTTTCTGGAATACGATCCTTTCGGAAGCGAACTTAGCACGGTTCGAGGTAGAAGTTGGCCTCCTTTGCGCAGTATCTGAAGCTGAAGAAGCCGTATTTAACGCTAGAAATCGGCAGCAGTTGTCTTTCCGCTCGAGACCACGTCGAAGGGTCGCCTGCGAGAAGAGCCGCCTGCAGCGAGAGAGGCTGGGGACGTCGCGAGGCGGCGCCCGCCGGGCTGCCTGCGTTCTCAGAGGGGACGAAGCAGCCGCTGCCCTGATTTTATTACTTCTCCAACTCGCCCCGATCTAATGGGAGATCTCTGTCCGGGGGTATTGGCCCCGGACTTAAATACCGTCGCTCCCGGGGAGAGGAGGCGCAGGAGACGGCGCGGCCCGATACGCATGCGACGACGGGCGCGCAGGGCCGGAGGGCGGGGGCGGGGCGGCGCGCTCACGAGAAAGGGCCGCGTTGCGTTCGAGCACGTCCGCCGTGCACAGGGGAATAATCTTAATCCTAATTTATGAAAAGAAACCTCTAAACCGTTCGTATCTCATCATGACTTAGGGTTGATTTTTTTGTACTGATATATTATTATTATTATTATTATTATTATTATTATTATTATATAGGGTTGATTTTTACGTACTGATATATTATTTAAAATATGAGTAACGGTTTTGAGGATTACTGTAGTATGGAGACACTATAATGACTCACGGAGAAATTAAATTAAATCTTCAAACAGTTATGTCGTTGAATGTACTGGATGCTTTAATGGCAGCCTCACTTGGGGATGTGAACACGAGCGAATTTGCGATACTATATGAGTTCTTCAGTTAGTTATTTACCAAAGATGATAACTGCGTTATTTTTATACGAATACTTCGCTCTATTTCAAATTTTATTTATTTGGGATTTTTCCTTTATACATTTTGCAAGGTAAGGCATAGTATCTGAAGATGCTTTGCACGATAAATGTAATATAACTATTTTTAGAATTACGAACTCCTAATACACTTCGAATAGATAGGACTGTAAACATTCTGTGCGAGTTGTGACGATCATTTCCTTCGGTTCATTAACCCCTAATCCACGGTTCTTTAAAGAATTACTGGTTCAGTTACGAACCGCTTAAACGAATTGTTTTAATCAGTCGACTGCGCTGAGGCTCTCAGCTGATCTCTAACACAGACACGCAAGCGACATAGGGTCTGCTGCTGGTGGACAGCAGGGAATGGCCCGACTGCATCCCGCAGTCAGTTTTCCCTCTCCCTCGCTTTCCAGCTTATCCCCTTTCACTTTTCATTACTTCGCAGAATGTTTGGAATTGTATATGTTAAGTTAGAGGTATAAGAAGATGATTGTGATAGGTGCTTTCATGTTTTCTTACCACAAACGTTTAAGTAGTAGTTTTTTACAATAGCAGAGCTCTAAAAGGACATGAAAATTTTGTCTTGTAAATAGATAGAAGTGGATAAATTATAGTCTATCAATGTGGTTCTAAGCGGACCAAAGGAAACGTAGAATTTTAAATGACTGGTTACTGATTCCGGGCGCGTCAACTGCTAAGGTCATTAGTCGTGTTTTCGTCGCGGGAGGTGGCAGTCATCTTCCCTCGCTGGATGGCGAGACTTGGAACCGATCTACCTCTCGGCTTACAAAGTTTTCCCCAACCAAGTATCTCTCATCGGCGGGGCATCACCCCAGTGGGGAAACGCTATAAACTCGCGACTGGTCTTCCCGGCGAGTGAGGTGATGTAGTGCATGTAAGAGTAAGTTTATGTGTATGTGTGTGTGTGTAAGAAATGAGAATAGGACAAAAAAGAGGAAAGAAAGACCGCGCGCGTTTTGTGGCACATTTGTTAGGGTACTGCTCCGGCATTCGCGTGGTGTTGGTCAGAGAATCGACGAAAAACTACCAGAGTAGCCGTCCGCTATAATTCTCCTCCAGATAACGGCTAACGGATAATGGCTACTGTCGAAAATTCTGCTACAGTTTGGAGTCAAACCCTAGGACCTCTCGGTCAGAGGCACTGCTACGACATCAGTTGATGCACTGAGCCACCTAAGCTGGTGGGAATGTATAAATCGATCCTCATACCAAGGAGGAAAGCAGATCGTGATGCCTCTTTGAGGAGGTAGATAAACTGGTTGGGGAAAGCTGACCGCGGGAAGCAGTGGGCGGCGTGCGTGCGGCGCGGGAGGGCGCAAGGAGACCTCAATGTCGCCGTGTCACGTCGTGCCGCGCCCGTCGCTCGTACGTGCGTGTGCGTGAGTGGCCACCCCCGTCCCCTAATCGCTCTCCCGCCGGGCGGTCCCCCCAGAGCAACGTCCCACGCTGGAGACCTCTCCCTCTTCCAATCGACTCGCATCGTTTTAATCGAGTCCGCTGCAGCCCCTTCGATTCGATTCGATTCGATTCGAGACTGTCGTGCGCTTCCCGCATCTCTCCCGAGGATTTTTCTGGCAGCTGGTGACAGGTAAATACTTCCGCTTACTAATCTATATTCGATATGCGCGGAGAGAGGAGCTCGGAACAGTCGTGGACTTCGTTTAGTCTGTGACGGTAGATATTTGAATTAACGTTCATTTCTTCTTCTTCTTCTTCTTCTTCTTCTTCTTCTCTTCTTCTTCTTCTTCTTCTTCTTCCCTATCCTTTGAATTGACTTCCTTGATAATATTCTGATGTAAATACACAATTTTACTTAATTTCTTTCTGCTTACGCTGTATAGTAAAAGTATTTTTAATGATGCTTTGAAAAAAAGCGAATTTTTGACAGAAAAACTTTTAGTGTAAAAGTGGCAAAGAAAAAGTAAATCTTGTTACTGTGTATACTTAATTTCTTCCCATTAACATGTTGTATAGTTACAATCCACGTTCGGTAGGTCCTTGGCACCGAAAAATCGATTGATATAAAAACGTTTGTCCCTCCATCTGTCCGTTCGTCTGCCCATCCGTTCAAATCTTGAAATAAAATCATGTTCAATTTTTCGAAAATATGAGACTTTTGCGTGACACAGTCCATTTTTAGATTATAAATATTTCTTTCTTAATTTTTCAATTTTTTTCTTTAAATATTTTCCCCGTATCTAGAAAGTAACGGTAAATAAAGTAGTGCTAGTCTAATTTTCGGTGAAGTCTCTGTATATTCAAAAATAGCAACAAAAAATAGAAATTGCAAATTTGAATTTCCCGCGCTTTTTTGACGCTCTGTCAATAATATTGCAAATTGCCGGTTTTAAATTATTCCCAGTGTTATTGGTCGAAATGATCGAATGATGTAGATAATATTTTTACAAAAAAAATAGATTTTAAAAGGGTAATAGATTTCACTTAGAACTAACATATACATTTCTTTTATGTAACGAAATTTTGATCGTTTATTGTGATATTCATAAATTGGAAGGTCGCTTCCACGTAATTAAGGCAAGCTTGTGTAAAGTTTTTCTTGCTTTTCTGTTACTATGGTAACAAGAACAGATATGCACCACGGGTGCATTGTTTGTTTCGGTTGAAGTGAACATTTTGAAGTTCTAACCGAGTTGTTAGTAGAGCAGAAATTGCAACATTTCAGTTTTATGTGTCTGTTTCTAAAAATGCGTCAAAGAATGTGATGAAACATCTCTAGTTTTATTATAATAAAAAGTGTAATGATTATTCTCATTGCTTAAAAGGTGTTAGAATATATTTAAAATCTTTTTAGTAATATCAAAAATTTACAGCACTAATTTCACAATAATAATGCTGTAATTTATTGTCTCTTGGAACATATTTTAAACCAGCTTTTGCTTCAAAACGAATAATTTATTACCCAAAACATATACATCTTTGCGCTAAAGTAACTAATTTCAGAGGACTGAATGTTAAAAAACTTGGCCCTTCGGCATGTTTAACATTTTTATTAAATAATTTTTGTTCGCCGTTTCTAATTATTACTTAAGACAGTGAACTACAATTTTCATAAACTTTTTTTATATTGATGTTCATGTCATATTTACACTTCAGTGATCAATTATTACATCTATAAAGTATCTTTAGGTATTTGTATCTCCATTTGATTTAAGTAGAAATATTGAATATTGTATTATATAAATATAATTATATATAATAAATATATTGATTAAATATTTATTACATCACATTACATTCCTGTGAAAATGAAAATCTGATTTTCAACGAAAATAAGTATTAATCACGTGATACTAGTGACAGACGAAAGGGATCCATTTGCTTAAATTATGATTAATATTAATTTAATCCTGATTATCTTACCCTCATCCCTGCACGCCATTTCGTACTAGAGCAACTTTCTAAATTATTACTGAAATGCATAGATCAGTTAAAGTTTATAAGATGAATATTCTATTAAGAAATAAGACAACGGTAAAATTGGCCACACAATAAATGGTAAAAACTCCGTGAATTAATAATTCTTTAAAAAAATAGGAATGTTGCATTTATAATGCTCTAAATTTATTACCTAACTCGTGCG